AAAAAAAAAAAAAAAAAAAGGAAGTTAGATCCATTGCCCCACTCAGAACCCTCTAGAAGCTCCCCTGTCAAGCCAAGTCCTTGGAATGCCCACGTGTCTGGCTCCCCACGCTCTCTCTGACGTCAGACGCCAGCCCCCACTTCAGCCACACTGGCCTCCTCACTGCTCCCTCTGCACAGCCGCTCTTGGGCCTGGCATGCTCTTCCCTAGATTTAGATCTGTGTGACTAACTCTGTTGCCTCCTTCAGTGTTTCCTCAAATGTCACATCCCAAAGAAGCCAATCCTTACTCCCCTGTTGTACATCACACATGCCCTCCCCATGCCTTCCTCGTCTCCTTGCCCTGTTATCTTTCCCCGTAGCACTCACCATCCCCTAATACACTACAACATTCACTTACTATGTTCATTGTGAGGAAAAAAAGCACCAAGGACGTGGGGTCTGAGATCCCAGGGAAGGACGGCTTTGAGCTTCATGTTGGCACAGGTTCCCTGCCAGGCATCTGCCAGTTAATAACGGTGGCCAAGAGGCTGGGCAGCTGAGGAGGGCATCTGGTGGCCTCCTGAGTGTTTGGTATCTTCCAGGGAGGAGGAGGAGTTTTGCTTAGGGCCCTAAGGGGCTGGAAGTGAGGAGTGAGGACAGGAGAACCAAGCCAGTCCTCACAGAGACTGGAGACCAGCCTCAGCTAGCCCAGTCCCTCCCCTCAGTCCCCCTCAGAGCAGAAGAAATCCCTCTGGACCAGGGGCAAAATGCAGCTCCGTACAGGCCAGCCCTGGCCATGCCCGTTAATTTGCATATTATTTGTGGCTGGTTTCAAGCTGTTTTTAACTGGAAGGGCACGGAAAGCCTGGAAGTACGAAGAATCGCAGAGAGACACCACGCAGACAGTATGGTGAGAAAGCTGGTACAGTCACCACTGTCCGATGACAGAGACCGTAGGCAAGAGCACTGCTAGACAAAGAGGCCATTTCATAAAAGTGAAGGGTCAGTCTGCTAGGAGAACACACAGCTCTAAATGTGTATGCGCCCACTAACACAGCCTTGGAATTCCTAAAGCAAAAATGAGCCAACTAAGATGATAAAGAGGTGATGCATGACCACAGGGGCAGATTTTACCGTTCCTCTTGGGGACTGATAGAGTGAGGAGCAAAGAAAGCAGTAAGGATATGGAAGACTAGAAACACAAAGAGTGAACTCAACCCAAACGATAAAGATCAACTCTGCATCCAACAACTGCATTCTCTTTACGTCAACCGATAGAGCGTTTACCAAAATTGACCAAACGCTGGCCATAAAGCAAGTCTCAATGGAGTCAGAGAATTGAAATAACATAGAACACGTTTTCTGACCATGGGTAAGTCAAGTGAGAAAGCAAACCCAAAATGAAAAGTAATGCGGCGCTAAACAACCCACAATTCACAGAAAAAATATTTTGAACCTAAGAATAATGAAACTACAATAAACCCAAGTCTCGTGTTGCTTGGAGGAAAATAGAGTGTTTGCTGCGTGGGCTCGGAAGGGAAAGGCTGACCATCGGCAATCTAAGAACACTTCTTGAGAAGTCAGAGAAAGAAAAGAAGATCAAATTTAAAGGAGAGGAAGGGAAGTAGAGGAATTCTGAAAGGCCAAGGCCCCTGCCCCCAGCGCACACCCCACAGGGCAGGCTGTTGGTTTGTTTTGCTCATGGTTCTGCCTGGCACTGATCCAACAGGAACTTCGAGGATTCGTTTGTGCTGTCACTTGTCTCCAAAAAGGCACACGGTCAGAGGGCCACAAGTGCCGTGGGCCTTGGGACAGGGTCTGAGTGGGGTGGGGCCAGAGATCTCCCCCTCCAAGCTGTCCCTATAAGCCACAGCCAGTCGGGGAAGGGACTGTGTCAGAAACTCAGGGTGTCCCCGCCATCCTGCCCACAGGGGGCTTCGAGGAGCTCCGGCCGGGTGGTGCCCAGTCCTGCCTGGGCTGGGAAGTCAGGCTGCCCCAGGTTGGAGCAGCACCTCTGCCCGTCTGCACAGGTTTCCTGCCTACCCCCGTCTCTGGCCCCCACCCTGTCTGTCTTCCCACCTGCTGAACACCTTACTTGCAAAAATACATAGCTTAGTAATTTACAGCGGCTTCCCCCTGGCAACTCCCAATGACAGCTTCAGACAAAAATACCTTTTACAGGAGACAGGGGGAGATCCGACCATTCTTCCCCCGTGTGGCCCCCACCCTGCCCCTGGGAGCCGGCCCGAGGGCAGCGAGTGGCCGGCTCCTTCTGGCTGCAGCTGTAGCCCAGGGAGGGGTCTGAGCTGGTGCCTGCCGCCCCTCCCCTCAAGGAGCCCCCACCCCTGGGGCCCAGCCATCCCTCCTTCTCGGGACTCGAGAGGACGCGTCAGAAGGTCAGCCTGACTCTTAGAACTGCACGTAGAGGGGCTGGGCTCCGGGGCAACACTGGCCCCGCGGGGAGGAAGTGGGCCTGCAGCCCCTCTGCCCCTCAAGCCCCAGACAGGGCGCCCCAGTCACACACGCCAGACGGCCACTTCTTCCCATCCAGCATCTCACAGGACGAGACGGCCCCATGAGGAGGGGACGTGGACGGCCCCGAGCAGATGCCCCCGCCCCGGGCAGGGGTCGGGCCAGAGTGGGCCTGTGAGTCTCCGTGCTGCGTCCCGCTCTGGCGCCAAAGAGGAGAAAGACTCTCCTGTGCAGACGAGGGAACTGAGGCTGGACACACCCCAAGGAAGAGAACAGCAGCGACAGGGGACCGTCCGTCCTGCAAGTGAGCGCCCTGCGAGCTGCCTCAGCCCTCCCCCGGGGCGGCCCTGCCACAACCCACGTGCAGGAGGTCACCCTGTGCGAGCTGGAGGGACTTCCTGGCCAGCACACGCTCCCCAGTGCGCCTGGCAGAGGGAGGCGAGGCGTGTCCTGGAGAAGGAGCACCCTGTCCGTGGGCCTCTCACCACCCCCACCCTGACTTCGGGGCGGCCTCACCCTCCTCTTGGGCACAGCCTGCCCAGTGCCCACCTCTCAAGGGCTCCAGGCTGCACACTTCCAGGGGGTGTCCCCAAGCGGGGG